TTTTTTTTTTTTTTTTTTTTTTTTTTTTTTTTTTTTTTTTTTTTTTTTTTTTTTGAGGGTAAAACACGAGCACAGATATTCCTCGGTAAATTTTTGGTAAATTTTTGCCACATCACCAGGTCTGATGGGCAACGACTCCGAGTGGTACTTCACGGGGGCAAAGCTCTTTCCGAACGTCAAAGGCTGCGGCTACCCGCCCATGCTCAACTGCACGAAATTCGTGAGGAACTACGGCAGCGTGGGGCAAAACTTCAGCTGTTACTACTCGAAGGTCGATCCCGGCATCGTCATTAGCGACCTCGACATGCGCCAGGTCCGAGCAAGCTCACCGAGCTCCATCTGTTTTTTTTTTTTTTTTTTTTTTTACTATCCTCACTCTCCCCCTTTCCTTATTTTTATTACACGATTACAAAGACCATTCGTCCAAATGTTGTACTTACACGACACGTCCTGAATTTTTCATTTGAAGGCCTCGATCGAGCGGTGGTACAAATTAAATATGTTTCCCGTTATATGCGTGTGTTCGTCTTTTCCTCGACGCGATACGGTGTAGGATATGAATTTGTTTTCCATGCCGATGAAATAATGTTAAGGGATACAAATCAATAAAAAACGAGCCTTTTCTATCGCACCCCACGAGCTCAGTGGTGCGACAGTGTACTATTCACGGCTGTCCAATCGCCTCTCTTTGTTTCTCGAGCTGTACCCTCGTAGCTTTATACGTGACTCAGCTGCTACACGGCAATGACGAAGCCTCGCGACGAGCTATGCTAATTGTGAATTCAATCGAAGCTGTAGCGTATGGGCATTGAATTTTGCGGTACAAAGCGGAAAGGCATCGATGATTCGGGACGTTTGAAGAATTCGAGTGATACATTTCTTTTTCTTTTTTTTTTTTGGCCTAATTTACTATTAAAAAAAAAAAAATAAGAATAACGATATAAATAAAAAACTGAAAGGTATGAAAAGATGCAAATTTACGCCAGTGGTATCCCGTTGTGTAAGAAATGACAAAAAAAAGGTGCGATACCATGAAAATACTTGAGTTGAAAGGGTCGATAAGTATGAATTTTCGATTCCCACGACATCTCCCCCCCGTGTTCAAGTCCCAAAGCAACGGCAAGTTGAACGCAATTGCAGGTGTACTTGAACCTCGTGTACGCGCTGGCGATCCCAATACCGTCCTTCATCATCTCGGTGATCTACCTGACGATCGCCTACTTCAAGATCTACAACGAGGACGAGGTGGGCCTCGTGGGGGCCGAGGAGGGCGGCGGCATCGGGGACGAGGACGCCCCGGGGGAGCAGGACGCAGCGATCGGGGGCTCGGTCGGCGACGTGACGACCCTACCCCCCACCTCGGACACGCACACGCCGATGAGCGAGGCGTTCGGGCACCAGTTGAAGGTCGCCATGGTGGACGACAACAACAGCAGGGAGAGCTTGGACGTCATTGCCGACGCTTGTTCCATTCAGGGGTGAGATGCGCCTACTTTTTTTTTTTTTTTTTCATTGCTTTCACGCCTTTTAACATATAAATAACAATAAGTACACTCACCTCGCAGGGACTTTGCGTACAGATGGTTGGATTTAGATTTGTAGAGTTTCGGCTTAACGAAAGCTCATTGATCGCTAACAATTCTATTACGGTGCTATCATTGTTATTCGACGAAACACGGAAACAGAGGGAATTCCCCTCGAAAGAGCGGGGAATCCCCAACGGTGTATTAAAACCAGGGGATTTTTGGTGCCAAGTGCACGAGATGTGTGTATCGATTGTGCACGGAGTACAGGGACGGTGCACGTGTAGCACCCTCCTCCATCGAGCTCCTGACGAATGAGAAAATTCAATCTCGGCCGTATCGCTCAGCCAATACCTTATGTACACACGCGCAACCATAATGCGTACCTTAACAGTCCATGAATCACCTGATGTGCGGAATCAGAAAAAAAAAAAAAATAATGCTGTCCTTTACTACGCAAGCTCATGAAACGGTGCTCGTTATCGCAGGCATTGCACGCAGGCTGACGTTAAATCACGTGGAGCTTACGCACGTGTGTGTATGTATACACCCGGCACCCGTCCATGTCGAGCTCGCGCAATAAAACGTGCCTCCCCTGTTCCCCCAAGGTCGTGTAGGCGTCCAACGGTCTCTCTTCTCGGAGCTTGCGAGGGTCGGTGCGTTGTGTTACACGAGCTTTTATCGCTTACGCAATACTTTGGGGGGGGGGAAGAAGAAGAGGAAAAGCGAGACTGCTTGGCGACGCCGGACTGGGGTGAGTGTAGGCACGCGTGGACTCTGGTGTAGCTTGCGCGATGAGCTTTTCTCCTTCCGCCAGTTGTTTTTTTTTTTTTTTTTTTTTTTTTTGGAATTACTCGGTTGAAAAATCAGAGTTTCTTTTCGTCCATTTATTTGAGTAAAAAGGCCTACCAGATTAACTCCACCAATGAAATAGGTACTTGGATGAGTAAAAAAGCTTACAAATGTCGATTGTTTATTCGGAAAAACGAAAATTTTTATAGTTTTGAGGAACGAGAACAGAGGGTGAGATTAAATCTTACCCTGTTTTTTGGAACAAAAGACCCTTTTGCTCCGTGACTCGCCGATTAAAATAAAAACGTTCGAATTTGAGGTCGACCACATAGAACTAAAATTTATTCGAACAAAACTTCCTCGTAGCTCCTATATATACCTTCGATTCCACGATTCACGGATACATTATTCATCGCTCCGTTGACGAGAGTCACGAGCGAAAATATTTACTCAACGTACATACAAACAAGCAAACTTTACCTTAGTGTAACAACAAAAAAAAGAAAAAAATAAGCTCGTCGAATCAGACAAAAAAGATAGCAAGTACCCCAAATGAGACTCGCGGAAGCACTAAATATTTCATGGCTTCGACGTGGTTAAGCATCGAGGGGTAGACGTGCCCATCGGAGAAAACCTGACGAGCGAAGCGAGAAAGACTGCCTATACGGCCCTACTTGGCGAGTGCTAAAAGTAGCCGCGTAGCCGATGTCCGAGTTTGCGTATAGAGAGAGAAAGAGGTCCGTCAATAATACGGGTGACATCCGTTCTCGCGGTCGTTGGGTGGGGGGCTTTTACGTGGTCGATTCATCGCGTACGTGCACGTGTGTGAGTGTACTACCCGCATGCAGTATCCGAGCTCGTTTAAAAGGGTCATGGTTCCCCGCGCGCTATTCTCTCGTGACACTGTATATAATATATGTAGCGCGGGATAAGTGCTAGCTTTGCTCTTTGACCCCCCCCCCCCGTTTGTTCGCTTTGCCAGTGATTTAAGAGATGATTTTCATTGGAAAGTTTGTTGTTTGCGAGACGGTATGTCTGACCACTGATATTGAATGTTTTTTTTCGAAATTTATATCGAAATCTCGAACAACTTTTTATTCTCTATTTCACATGTTTTTTATTAAATTTAATTGTTTTTCAAGGCTTTGCACAAATGAAGCAATGGCTCATTGGGGGCGTGAATGGGATTTCTATGAACGCTTGTGGGGAAATAGCACGGGCCAACGGTATCTTTTTATTATCTGGGTTTACGACACTATTAGTAGTAGTACACATTCGCAGACGCCAAGAAATAAAATATTTATAAGGTCTTCCTTTAAGGACTAATTTAAAATTATGTGTGTATTCAGTAAAAGCCATACATTTATTGACTCTTCATTTGGTGGCCTATTTCATTCTTGATATTCTTGTGTTATTGTTTCATCTTTGAGGTAGCTCTTTTAATATCTATTTTTAAACATTTACTTATCATGGACTCTACAAAACGAGATAAATGCGAGGTCTCTAAAGCAAAACAGGAAAAATAAATTGGTTAAGGTGTTTGGTTTACTTGATTGTTTCAATGACTATATGTCTAACATTTTGTGTTCAAAAATAGTTAAAAAGCAGTGATTCAAGTACATAGAGTGAACTAATACGTCTACTAAACTAATCAATTTGTTGTAGCCAAGACATTACGCAGCTGCACTGTGGCTTTGGTTTCACTGATTCTAGTCGTATATTCAAAGCTACCATAGTACAACGGCTGTTTGATGTAATTCTTGATAAGCAAATGTTTCCACATTTTATTATTTCCTCGTCAGGACATTGCAGCGCTGTGATCAAAAATGAACGAACTTTGATTAATTTTAAGTCATCTTAGTAGCTTCTTCAGATTTTAAATGAAAACACATGCTCTTCTTATAACTTTATTTAACAATAATATTTAAATTATTGAATATCGTTTTTTATACTTCCTTTACTTCCGACCGCTCCAGCACGAAAAAACTGGGGAAAGTGAAGAATAAAGGAGGTATTAAAACATGGTCAGTGTCGACATCTTCTATGTATAGGTGATTTATGGTTTGCATTAAAACCAGTGAATTGGTATAAATAAAAGGCCGCTCTGAGAAAATACACAATATCCTTTAGGGGTGCACCCAGGCTCGAGAAACTGTAGGACAGCTCCGTAGGATTGCGCTTGGACATAGCAAAACAATATAGTTTTGCTACCAAGACAGAAAACATTTTTTCGTTTTGATATCTCTGATTGTACAAAAAATTCGTCTGGATGGGGAAAAATTTTAATCGAAAATTTAAATAGAAATGTTGAATATTGAAAAGAAAACAAGCAATTAATTCATAAGTAAATTAAAATGAGTTATTACATGGTTCATATTAAATATGTTGATGGTTGATCAAATTTTTTAAAACAAACGACCTTGTGTTTTGCTAAATTGTTTGAAACATAGTATTAAAAACGAGTCAGAAAAGCTCAGATGAACACATGAAATACAACACAATGTACCTAATTTAATAATTCTATCTTACAGTATACTCTACCTATGAAAAGATAATAAATTTTTCCGGGTATTAAAAAAGGTTCACCAGTTTTTATAAAAGGTTAAAAAAACATGTTACAGTTACTTTATACGTTTATGTTAATGTTTAATTTTATTGGTTTTATACTTGTAGATAAATTTGTTTAGACTCAATTTCAGTGAAAATAACTTACCAGTGGCTAGCATGTTTGTCATCAAAATAAAAATTAGGCAAGTATTAATTTTTGAGCTGACAAACATTTCAAATTTGCTCAATTCTTCTTACCATTTGATTCACAACTAATAAAATTCCAACATATTTGACCTGATATATAATATATACATACTAATATCGCTTCGTGATTATGATAAGAGCCCACTAATTAGAGCCACGTAACAGGAAAGCTATTTTCATGTAGAGGTGGAAACAGTGAGACATGGTTGGAAAAAAATCACATGATGAATCTGTTCATTGAAAATATATTAGTATCATCCTTGACGTAACTGATGACGAGTGAATGAAAAAAAATAGTCGTTAACTTATCAGCTATTTTATTCATCTAAATCATTTTCACCTCATAAACTTAGGTTTTTATGGTTATTAACATTACTCTAAATTTAGTTTGATAATCATAATAACAGGGGGTCAGATTAATAGTGGCCAAAAAGTCGTTAAAGTTAAAATTTCTTAAACAGCCGAAATCCAGAGAAGCATTAATATTAATTTGTATTTCAATTGATGATTGAGTTATAACTGCCAAATATCGATAAAAGTTTGGATGGGACATCTCGACGTTATTTTTATATGTTGGAACTATAAACTCACTCGTCACATTGAAAGCTGTCCATGACCAGCTGAGAAATTTTACTTTTACGATAAGTAAAAAAATTCTTGTCATAAAATATTTATATCGTCTTCTATTACTTTCATTAGGAGGACATCAACCTAACAAGTGTAAATAGATAATGTAAGAGAAAATAATTGCACCGCATTTTTCGATATTGAAAATCTTTTCGACAAATCGGTCAAGTATTAATAAATATTTAATTTCTAGACTTTGGTTTTATTTTTACACACAAAAAGCTGGTATCTGCTGACGTCAAAGTTCAAAGATACCACGTGTCAATCGAATGGCAGAAATTTTAACAAACATTTTTCCGTAATATTATAAAGACACGTAGCATTTCTCAAGTTTGTAAATACAAAATAAACCATGTATACAAAATATAAACAGCCACACACAGCTTGAATGTGTTGCTACACCCGAACCCTCATAACGACCCCTTACTTGTTATAGCTCATCGAATTTCATTCGCTGGTATGGCTTCTAGTTCTCGAAAAGCGCACAAAAGCGCCACGAGACATCAATTTCGAGAAGAAAGTCGATTCCTCTTCCTCTAGCCTCCTTGTTCTCTACTAAGTATACCGTATAATTATACATTGCTCAATGGCATTCTTATAAGATTAACTTGCACTCACTCCTATATGTGAGTATAGGCACAGATTGTTTAAAGTCTACTGGGTGTAGTGCGTTGGGTGAACTCCGAAGCTGATGGACAATGCGGATTTGGATTTTTTTTTGAAACGGGGATTCATGAAGAAATATTTAAATTAATAGTAAATATATATAGTAGTAAACAGATTAAATTAATTTCAAAGGCATGTACGCAAAATCAGATGAGAATGTTTAAATGAATCAAAGCATATGTATAGGCAATCGCATATAACGCGTATAGAGAACTTTCGAGCGCGTGGAGCGGTGAACGATCTAAACTCACGGAATAGAGTTTCCGGGTCAGGGCGACCAATAGAGATAGCGAGAAGAGCACAAAGGGTTACAGTTACATTGGCCCGCATATCACATAGCTATATGGTAGTAATAGGTGATGGTAGGAGGGCTTTTTGTCTCTCTCAATTGGAGAGAAGGAAAAAAGGGTGTTTCGAGCATAAAATAACTTATTTGTCATACGAATGAGTATGTATATGATGTGTGACTAATGTACACATGCTGCTATTGTGACAAATTATGAGTTTTCTGTCTGTAATTACTGTGTTGTGGAGGAAAAATTGCGCTTTCTTCACTGGAAGAATTGCCAGGATTTTCAATTCATATTTGGTATTTATTCTGTTTCCATTGAATTTATTTTCATAATTACTTGTCATATAGGGTTTAAAATCATACATTCAGTGTTTTAGTTAACGATGCACAGTCTCGTTTACAGCAGATACTATGGGTGTGATCAATCGCTGCGTTGCATCGTGAAATAAGTAGTACGAGTCAGCGTTAAGTCAGACATCGCTTTTCACCATTTTTACACGCAGTGTCGGCTCGCATCCGTTTCTCCTACCTAAGGGAAGTTATCTACGTGAAATTTAACTTACAACTTCTCAAAAGCTGCATCGCATAAAGGATCAGCAATAAATCAACAAAATGAAAATGAACGAAATATCAATTATAAATTTCGTTTTCGCACGAGGACTAATGTTCGGAGAGGGTTTCAGGGACTCGACGTAAATCAAAACTTCTTCCGCTCTCGCGAGGGAGTCTCCCTCTGAAATTTCATTTTCAGATCCAAAAGCATCGTAATTAACTGCGCTTATTTCGGCTTTGCGTATTGTACAAAATTCCCCTCCACCGGGCGAAAATCCCAACTGTTAAAAACGACTGCCTAGCATCAACACTGAACTTACCATTTCCCGAATATACAACCTCCAAATATGAAATAAATCGTAATTAAAACCAGACATGCACACCAAAAGTTAATTTCGTACTCGAGTAACCCACAACAAATTAAATTAACATCGTCATCGCGATAGCTCTCTCCTTTCAACGCGGGAACAAAGCTGTTGGAAACTTCCTTCGATTTCTTGAATAGTATATAGGAGATCAAGCTGTCACCAAGTGCCATCGACTAAAAATATCAGAGCCACTTTCTCTCTCTCTCTCTCTCTCTCTCTCTCTCTCTCTCTCTCTCTCTCTCTCTCTCTCTTGTTTTGACACGCATCCGTACAAACGTATACACGCGATTCAACTTACGAAATCTACGATCTCAATGTTATGTAATTTCAGAGAAACGGTAGCACCTGACCCTATTACGTGGGTACTTTTCGTTTTCTGTGAACTTTCGTGCGAAAACTGCTGGCTCCGCGAATAAGTCGGAATTTGATATGCGAGCACTGCAGCGGCGATCGCACGTCAGCCCTGACTCTAAGGCGTTTTTGTACGAACTATGTTCTGAGCGCACGTTAGCTATAGTGGGAGACACGAAGTTTGAAAAGTGGGTTAATGAATTTGTATTGAATCCTCGGAGACTATTTTGCTTATGGCTTTAGTTCCTTCAAAACATGGGGTGTGTATAAAGTCCCCCTCTTTTTCTTATTTTTAACAGTATTTTAAAAGATCTGAAAATGCCGAACATCAAAATGCCATAAATTTTTTCAATGTTTTTAACTGAATATATATATATATTATGTTGGTATTGATACATTTTTCACTGAATAGAAACGAGTCATAAATTAGCAAAAGTGAAATTTACTGTGATGACTTAGTTGATTCCTACAAATTCAATGATTATTGTTGCATCCACAAGTATTTGATGTCATCAGAATCTTATTTTATTCACGCATAACGTTACTTCTGTTCCCGTTTTCTTCTTAAATTTTTTTATCATTTTTCAATGACTTATTGAATTATTTTAAGCCTGAGCAAATTATCTGAAGAGGTGTTTGACCGAGTTATCACCTTTTTTTTATTGCTTGGGATAGTTATTTTTTTCCTCTCAATAGCCGATTTTCGTTTGTAAACAATGTAAAAATATGATGACAGATGATATTCTTAAGAACTGCACATGATTTTTGATTCTACTGAGTTCAATGCAGTTATACTAAAAACAATGACAATTGCTGTACAGTATTGTAGATATACGTACAATTTTTAAGGTCAACCTATCTTATTGATGAAAAAAATTACACATGCGAAGAGCTTTTTTTCAACTAAATTTTTTCAGCACCAGCTAATTTACGACAAGAATCTTAAATTATTAGTGTTACAAAATTATATGAACGAATTGAATAGAAAATAAGTAACAAATATTGAGCAAGACGATACCAAGTATCTCAAAGCAAAAAAGCGAACACAATTTTTTTTTCTTTTTTTTTTTTTTTTAGTGATTACTATGATAACATTTGGCGTGAATTAGGTGAATTAATATACGTTAATAGGGTTATAGATACATTTTTAGTTTATTTATTCAGTCCTACATAAATCAAACAGTTTACAAACACTTTTTTCCAGTAAATAAAATTTACTTCACCTAAATAAGTAAAGGCTTTCTTAATATATTAATAAAGTCCTTCTTCGAGGATAAATTTTAATTAAATTATGTGTTTATTTACATCCTTCAGTGAAAATCATACATTTTTGGGCTCGCACTTTTTTTTTTTTTTTTTTTTTTGTATTACTTGACATACATTTCGATGGTCTATTGCATTCTTGATATTCTTATGTTATTGTTTCATCATAGTCTCTACATAACGAGATGAATGCCAGGTATATAGAGCAAAATAGAAAAACAAAATTGGTTTAAGTGTTTGGTTTACTTGTTTTAATAAACATCTCTAATACTCTATGTTGTAAAATAGTCAAAAGTAGTGATTCATGTATAGCAACTACTAATAGGTCGAAAAAAATAATCAATAGGTTGTCGCCAAAATTTTACGCAGCTGCACTGGGGCTTTGGTTCCATTGGTAATAGTCGTATGTTCAAAGTTACCATAGTACAACGGCTTTTTGTTGGGCAAACTTTTTCACATTTTTGTATTTCCTCGTCAGAACACCGCAGTACTGTGGTCAGAAAAGAATGAAAGTTGATGAATTTTAAAACAATAAATGTATAAGCACTTAAATAAACTATTATTTATTACTACGTCCTGAATATTGAATGTATTGACGATTGATTTTTTAAGATAAACAATTAAACGTATTGTTTGTTGAAATTTTTCCTTAATGTATTCAAAAATGTAATGTCTAACGCTATAACATATATGATTAAAAATGTGTATGTAGCTCCTCTAAAAGGATAAAAGTACAAATTACGATTATATTATTTATTTATTTTTAACGAGTTTAAAGCCCTTTAATTAGTTTAAACATGTATAACAAGATTAAAACAATATTAATACTTACATCTAGGATTTACACGACTTAGAGTCTATCAGATATTTTTTTCACATTTTTTATTTTATTTTTATTTTTAAAATTAAATTTTTAATGGAATTAGTTTCAGCAAAAATCACTTACCAGTCTTACCAGTAGCTACTAGCACGTTTGTGATCAAAGTAAAAATCAGGAACGTATTCATTTTTGATTTCCAAACCATTTTAAACGAGCTCGATTCTCCTTACTGTTTGATTCACAACTAATAAAATGTGAAAATTTTTGGCCTCATGTACATGTATATAAATCGTTTTTTGATTATGATAAGAGCCCGCTATTTATAGCCAAGTAATAAGAAAGCATTTTATCTAGGCTTTAAAACATTATTATTAAAATTCCAAAAAATAAACCACAATGTAATCTGTCAATTGAAATATATATTAGTATCATCCTTGACGTAACTGATGACGAGTGAATGAAAAAAAATAGTCGTTAACTTATCAGCTATTTTATTCATCTAAATCATTTTCACCTCATAAACTTAGGTTTTTATGGTTATTAACATTACTCTAAATTTAGTTTGATAATCATAATGACAGAGGGTCAGATTAATAGTGGCCAAAAAGTCGTTAAAGTTAAAATTTCTTAAACAGCCGAAATCCAGAGAAACGTTAATATTAATTTGTATTTCAATTGATGATTGAGTTATAACTGCCAAATATCGATAAAAGTTTGGATGGGATATCTTGACGTTGAAACTATAAACTCACTCGTCACATCGAAAGCTGTCCACTGTCCATGAACTGATATCATATATCTGTATTCCCTTTTAAAAAGTTGACATCTTTGACATGAGAAATTTTACTTTTACAATAAGTAAAAAAATTCTTGTCATAAAATATTTATATCGTCTTCCTTTACTTTGATTAGGAGGACATCAACCTAACGAGTGTAAGTGGGATAATAATGCAGAAAATAACTGGCGTACGCCTTGAGATATTTATAATTGTTTCCACAAACCGGTTAAGTGTCGATAAACATTTAACTGCAAGACTTTGGTTTTATTTTAACACATAAGAAGCTAATATCAGCTGACGCCAGAGTTAAAAGAAACCATGTATCAATCGAATGGCAGAGATTTTAACAAATATATTTTGTATAGCACATCGCCACGAGACAAAAAAAGTAGTATGTGCGAAGACGAATAGCTTCAATACCAATTGATTCACTGCATGAAACTAGAATGAATAATATTACAAAATTATACGACTGCGCGTAAATTGAAAAATTATTAACAAACATTGCATGACATTGTTCCGCAGAAGCTTGAGCAAAACGATGACGACGAGTATCTCAACGCATCCTGGTCCGACGGCAGCAGTTTGAAGCGCCACTACCAAGGCTTGAAGGACGTCTCGTGGAGGCCCCGCTAAGTACGGGCCTTGGCAACAAAGTTCAACCGCGGCAAGCGATGTTGTCGCCCCTGGCAGCCGCCAAGAGGGTATAGGGAAAAGATAGCGAGCTTGCACGCGGATGATCGACAGCACGGCCCAATGCTCGATGATGAACTAGTGCGTCTTCGCGTGTTATATTCTAAAGTTAATGGAAAACAAGGCGAGACCAACGAGACACTGTGTACAGAATAAAACGAGATAATGTAATTTTTACGTCTGAGTAGTGATAAAACAACGACATTTACGGCAAATATTAGTGTGTAATTTCGATAGCCTGAGCAAATAAATAACGACTCTTGAAACAATTTCGGTAACGCGGGACGACGCTGAGATTATTTATACTTGCTTGTTGAGAAAAAAAAAAAAAAAAAAAAAAACAGTCGTCCTTCAAGGAGATTATGTTTGATACGATAAAAAGGAAGAGGAGGAACAAATTAACGCAGTCAGGGTTTGAACAATACAAATTTATCTCCATATACGGCTGTACTGATAATATGGGTATCTGGTACATGTTAAAAATGTGTCAGTATCAACAAATTTTTACGGATACATTGAGATGATAGATTTTTCGTTTGAAAGTTGTAGAGTTTTTTTTTAGTCCTGAAAAAGCAACAATTTATTTAGGTGTTGTTAAACAGAAATATTTAGTTTTTTAATTGTCGAACTTGAGTTTTTTTTCCGCTTGGATGATTGCACATTTTATCAGTGCAGTACGTGCACACATAATTCGAACGTGACAAAAAATTTAAGAAACAAAAATTAATCAACACCCACCCCGCAATGTGTTCAACGCTTTGTGGCCGTCTCTCTTGCAATTAATTTCTGCGAAAGAGAAGGTCGGACCGTCTGTACCTATATAGGAGAGTAGATCGGAGTATTCTTTCCCACGACGCCTCACGGGCCTTTTACGTAAATGCGTGTACACGACAGCAGAAAAAAAAATTTTTAAAGTATGAAAGGAGATTTCGATAAAACTGATGCTGATAATCGATTGAAATATAAATAACTTTAATACATGCACAAAAACGTGTAAACATGAATATATTGTAAAGGGGGTATATTGCGATTCGCTTGGCTGTTTGTTGCCGTATAAAATACCTTGCAAACGTTGATACAACGTTGAGACAATATTTCTAGTTCAATATATATAAATGTAATATATGGATGCAAGTAGCGAAATGAATATTATGAAAATGTTAACATGTGTGATAAAGACTTTGAATTTGCGGAGTTTGCTACGGTCGAATGTTCGAAATTGAAAATATTTCCAGTTAATCTTTAATTTACAGTGTTGAAATATAAATTTGAATGGGCTATTGTATTTATTTAAGTGAGAAATGCCACTAAACGATGGTCTTCTTTTCTTCAGCATTGTATCAACGTCTCATTTTCCGCGAAAACGCGCAGATGGTGTGGTTTAAACAAGACGTGGTTGGCGTACGCAAGTCAAGTGCGATATTGTTTGATACAAAGAGAGATAAAAAAAAAAAAAAAAAAAAAATTAGAAACGTAATATATGAACATTGAAAAAAGTGTGGCGACGAGTGAAGATGAATTATGTTACGATGACAATTGTCGAAACCCACTTACCCACAGTCATTTAATTATTTAGATTTAGATAGTTATTTTCACGATTAGTAAATTTTACACGTTTTCGTATATAAAGTATTGGTGATGACGGTGCATAGCTTTTTAGTATATAGAGGCACGAGGCAATAAGTTTTTAACAAAAGGTCAATAACACAATGTGCACAACTAATACGTCAATCAATGTTTGAGCAACATGTGAGAAATTATTTTAAATTTCGATATGAATTTAATCGTTTCATATAGTAAAGTGTAAAAATGTATGTGTTAGCTCAATTTTTTTCATTCCAAATATTAAACTTGAATTTGAAAAAAAAAAAAAGAAAAAAAAAAATGACAAGAGATATAACGTACCGTTGAAAATAATAATATTAAATAATAATAGTAATAACTATATAGATTTAAAAAATGTAAATTATAAAAAAAGTTGCATAAAAGCTTGTCACGTGATCACTTTGGAGTACCGCATTTTCATTAAAATAAAATGCATTATAGCAATCAGCGCGTCCTTACGCGATTAACCGTCATGAATATTATAGTAAAATGCGTGGGACTGTACAAATTTTACAACAAATAATAATAATAATAATAACTGACTTTGCAATAATTTGATAAAATGATGCGCTTGAAAATTATGTTACCGAAAAATTTTTAAAAATAGCTGCTTTTCGTTACCGTGTATTTTCAATTCATACCTGTTAAACTCACGTAATAAAAAATACGATACATACAATATTACACCAAAAAATATTATACAATAAATAAAAAAAGGAAATACACAACAGAAATATAAACAAAAAAAATAAAAGCTTGCAAAATATATTTATAAAAAAGAAGGACTCGCA